AGCCTCCGATCACCGCTCGAAGTGAACGGTCACCCCGACTATATTGATATTGTGACTTGGTAGTATTTACTTAGAAGCAATAAAAAAAAACTTTTGGGTGTTTCATTCCCACCAGCTACTAATGTTGGTGGGCGGGCAGTCCCTCCGGACTACGCCGAAAGGTAGGGTGGAAGGCCCTCTTCAGCCCCCTGTCAGGAATCGTGGGTGATAATTCGGGTGAGAAAGATGAGACGGACGAAATGAAGACAGAAGACAATGAAATATTATCATCTGTGGAATATTACTGCCCCAGCATTTGCCTATGTCATTCAAGGAAAGCACAGAAAAACTTTGACTAAGGCAGGCGGACCCGGAATCGAACTGGCGTCCTCCCGAATGCTAAGCAATGGNAACTTTTGGGTGTTTCATTCCCACCAGCTACTAATGTTGGTGGGCGGGCGGTCCCTCCGGACTACGCCGAAAGGTAGGGTGGAAGGCCCTCTTCAGCCCCCTGTCAGGAATCGTGGGAATAGGTGGGTGGTAATTCGGGTGAGAAAGATGAGACGGAGGATATGAAGACAGAAGAGAATGAAAGATTATCATCTGTGGAATATTACTGCCCCATCATCTGCCTATGTCATCCAAGGAAAGCACAGAAAAACTTTGACCAAGGCAGGCGAACCCGGAATCGAACCGGCGTCCTCCCGAATGCTAAGCAATCGTCTAAACCTCTAGGCCATGCCGCTCGTTCTTTAACTAAAGGGAAGTTTTGAAATATTTATATCTGAAAAAATTTTTGACGCGGTTTGAGGGTAAACTCGACGACGCGTCGTCCGATCGTACCAATGGGCGAATATACCCTTCTACGCCCCTGCGGAAAGTGGAGTTTCGTAGGGTTATTTGAACAGCTTTGAGATTTGACATTTACGTAAAGGAATACGTAGAATCTCATGGTGCCAACGGTTTTTGAGTGCAGTATCAAATTGGTACTTTCCGGCATTATTTTCCCTAAAACGTATCTATGAAATAATTTAAACATAAAAAAGCGCTCAGAATTTTGGCTACAGTTCTTTAACGTTATTTTTAAGATAAGCAAAGATATAGGTAATAGGTCAATGTGAAAAATCTACCATTTTCTCATACTGCGAGGACATGTGAATCAAAATGCAATGCCTTTAAATGTTTTTTAACTACTAATAAATTAACAATTATCCTGCCATCTGGTTGCATGAACAATATTCTTCAATTATATTATAACTAAACACAGTTATTCCAGTTTAATATTACATACATGCTAAAATATTAAACTGGAATAACTGTGTTTAGTTATAATATTCTTCAATTATATTATAACTAAACACAGTTATTCCAGTTTAATATTACATACATGCTAAATAGTAATATTGGTAGATGGCGGCATCATGTNGTATAAGACGCAGAAGCAAATGTGAGAAGTATGCGGAACTTCTGCAATTGCGGAAGCGGAAGCAGAAATCCGTTGCAACACCAAGTATAATTGGTAATACACAATACACATAATAAAGGTAAATAATGTGTTGTATAAAAGTTTTCACTTACTTGGAAACATACGAAATACCAGAAAATAGATTTAGGTCCTCAACTATAATAAATTTATTTACACAGGGACAATATTATTCATTATTAACAAGATTTGGCCAGCTATAACGCTGTAGAAGACGCAGAAGCAAATGTGAGAAGTACGCGGAACTTCTGCAATTGCGGATGCGGAAGCATAAATCCGTTGCAACACCAAGTATAATTGGTAATACACAATACACATAATAANGAAAAGAGGTTTTGAGTGCAGTGTTTAATTTCGAATTTTTTTTGGGTATGGTTACTACTACGTTCCGTGTATAATCCTCCGGGACTTTCCCCGCCTCATAAATGTGACTAACTAGCTTAAACATACGATCTCGAACCTCTTGTCCCGCATGCTTTAAAATTTCCGCCTGTATCCCATTTATACCTCGTGCCTTATTATTCTTTAAGTTTTTTTAATGCTACATCGAACTCTTTTCTCATTAAGAGACTACTTCATCTATCTCCACACTATCTTCCTTGTCTAATATATCTCCTAACTCATGACCTGCGTGTAAATTCTCTAAGTATTGAGAATAATAAGCACAATAATATTTGTAAGTAAATAATTCTAAATTTAAAAAGTTTTATTTCTACATAATAAGTATAAATAATAATTACACAGGTACAAATACAGAAAACTTAACAACGATAATTAAAGTATTATATAATGTTAGTTTCCTACTTAAAAAAATATCACCATTTAAGTATCCCATCAAAATTGCTCCTAAATATATTTAGG